TTTGATTTTTACTTTACATTTATGTAAAAGGCTTGCAACTTCGTTGAAACAATATCTGAACTCCATAACTGCTCTACTATTCTCGATCTCAAACAAGCAAATCACCAAAGGGCATTCTGGGTTGAGCGAGCGGCGCTGAGCGTATTGAGCAAGCGGAGCAGATTCTTCAGAAAGGAAATAAGGAAATATTACCACTCCGCTACCCGCTCCGCTCACATGCTCTGGTCATGACATAGGGAACATCCGTAAAATCCAAGCCCTAGATGTTAAGTGCCACAGCACATGTACTAACCACTAGGAGCAAACGCGTTTTTTGAGTGACCTCACTAGGAGATCTTATCACCCTCTGCATGGAGACCTGGAAGTGTTTTACGGGGGAGGACCGAACGGACACAATTGTCTGAGTGATTTTACTTTTTGGAACAATGGTCTAGGGAAGGAAGTGCAATAAGGGGCCTATCCTAAGTCCTTGAAAGCCTGGCTGCTTTCGATGGGGCCTGTGTCAACAGACCCCCCACCTAATCTCGCCAAGGGTCACACTTGCTTTTGCACCCTCCGTTCCCGCTCGAACAATCCCTCCGTCTGTGTGGAATCCCAACCCCCTTCGCCTCTGGTTTGGGATGGCACAAACCGGAAAATTGGCTCACAAAGGGAAGTACATTCTTCCATGCAGAAAACAACGTGTAAACAAAGAAGACCACCAAAGACATGAACTGAGATGGGTTTGTCTTTGCCTGCTGGAGCAGAAGTGTGCTGTTCCACCCTGTCTCTCGCTGTGGACACTATGTGCGCATTACAAATCCATGTGAAGAGCCAGAGAGATGAGCAAAATGAAGAAGATGGGTTGGAATTTGGTGTCATTATGTAACTTGAGACTGGTTAAGAGAAAGAGTTTGAAAGGGATGGTGCGTTTGCCCTGATCGGAGTCTAAGATTCCTGTCTGTAGATGTGGAAAAGAGCCCAGATGTTCAATTAAGTGCCGGAGGAAGTCTTGATGACAGGATATGGATGTTACCTAAAGCACAGTCTAGGACTCTTTAGAGAAAGCCTGCTTCCTATGATCTTATGCTTCCTATGACATAATCCAGCAAGTGCTGAGGAAACAGCGAAAATGTGTACAGATGTGCACCGAAACACCACGTTTATGTTCTTGTTGAGCATTTAATTTAATATATGTTGGAACATGGCTGCAATAATTTTCCTACTGTAGCTACAATGGCACAGTCAACATACTTTTGCCCAAGTATTTTTTTCACTTGTTTTTTTGCGATTTAGTTTTCTTGATCTGGCATATCTCCTCGCACCATTGTATTAGCATAGCAGGGTTCTGAAACAGCCTAGTTTTGTGAGCGAGACTGTCAGTTTCTCAGCTCTGATATGGTACAAAAATCCAAAGTGGTAGCTGTCGCCAGCTTCATTTACACAGCCGATAAGAGGACCAGCGGAAGTGTGTTTCTCCTTCTCCAAACACGTAATCTCCCTGCACTGCAGGCGTTCCATTGTCAGGTCAAGAGGACTGGAATGAAGCTGTGAACTTCCTGGAATCTGCCACCTCTGACTTTCTGCTGAAATTCTTCAGGCCTCAAACATTTGAGACGGCCACAGATGCTAAACAGTCCACCCCTGCTTTCCTTCTGTTTAATCAAAAAGTTTCTTGAGTAGTCATTACCGAAGAGGAAGGTCGTCAGTCACTGAGCCATTGTTTCAGTGGTCATGACTGCTCAGGGCAGTTTGGTGTGCAGGAAGGAGCCGATGTATAGAAATCAAACATCAAACATTCAGCTCAAGGATCAAAGCCGCACTAGTTGCCAGTTTGTAGGGTACAGTTGCTGTGAATGCAAGCACAGCTTCTTGAATAGGGAAATATAGGATTCTCCAAAACAGGACCATTACCAAATTACCAAATAGTACAGGGGGTTCCAGTCCTGCTCCTGGAGGGCCAACGTCCTGCAGAGTTAATTTCCAACATTTCCAAACACGCCTGCCTCAAAGGTCCTAGTGCTTCAGGTGTGTCTAACTGGGGATAGAGTGGCCCTCCAAGAGCAGGATTGGGCACCTCTGAGATTGGCTCTTGAAAGGTGGGATGGCCTTTCCTACAGCTGCCATAATGTTTTGTTGAGATTTCGGCCATACCTTAAATTACAAAAAGCTGTCGGCATCAATAGCCTTGTGGGCAGTGCATCGACATATAGTGCCGTTGTGCTACGTGTGTCCCGAGTTCGAATCCCAGGCAAAAATGCCAAAAATAAATAATAATAATAATAAAAAAACAACTACAAGAAGTTAAGTTTGTTTCATGTTGCACAACTTTGACAAAAAAGTGATTGTTATGTTTTGTAGGATGTGCAAAACTAGCAAACTATACCTCAGTTTGCAGCAATACCGCCATGCATAGATGCCAATTTTATCATCAATAATGGTTTATTTCAGTGAGTTCCAATAAGAGAACACATGTAGCCAAACCAAGACCACTTTTTAAAGTGGACTCAAACTAACTAATTGAACCAAATTTACACGTTCTGTTCTCAAACAGACCTGTGGGTTACCAACTTTAACCACTAAGGTATTAGCGCAACTCATCAGTCCCAAGGTTCTCATTTATAATCCTGTCTGTAAGTTTCTTATTGTGTACAGCAAAGCTCAGTCTAGAACTTAAGTGTCCTATATGTAGGGACCATAGCAATTTTGGCTCGACTAACTGTGCAGATAAGGTAGATTTTTTGAAATGTCATATTTTATAATGGCAGTGCTCATGGCTCGTTTCAGATGGAGCACAATCTATCTGTGTGACTCCACCACCAGAGCCAGAGTAAAATCATGAGCCTTGCTTTTGCTTTGGGTGTGTATGTTTACAGCTTGGCTCCAATGCATTGTCAGTTATAGTAGTGAAAGGCATTGGCTGCTCTTTTGTAGTTGAACATATAATTGTGTACTTTTGATATAAGCAGTGGTTGCCTAAATTTAGTGTTTTCTTTTTTCTTTTTAAAGACTCTCAAGTTTACAAGCTTCATTCCACAGAAACAAGCAGAAACCTAAAGTCGGCTTTACAGTTCAACTAAATCCTTGATTGTGCAGAGTTGAACAAAATGGCCAAATGCATTCTTGTGGTGGAAAACCCATTCTGCTTTATGCATGCCAGTTTTAGCATAAAAAAATAAGTAGTTATTTTAAGTCTTATCAGCATGGTAACCAAAGAGGAGGTGCTTTTTCTTGCTCATAAACTGCATTAAAAATAACTTGAATAAATGTTTTGCAAATTAACGTTAAAGAGGGTGCTTATATTTTTTTAGTATGACCAGTGTAATCAGGTTCATAAACAAATGACTCATTTTAGCAGGTTATTAGTCAGATACAAATCAGCTCTCTCAAAAGTACTAAAACAGTCGTTAATGGATTGTTTAGTGGAATCACAATCTCAACCAAAATCATTAATTTCCTTAGGTTTTTCATCTATAAGGAAGAGCCCTTGCTTTACTTCAAAGCTTCTCATTATGTGTGGAAGGTAACTAGGTTCCATTGAGACCATGTCAATTAACTTCTCCTGTGCATTGAGGTTATAGAGCTTCACTTCAAAGGTTTTTTTGTGTGTGTTTTGGTCACTCATGGCTGTGACAGCTTCATAATAAGAACGGCCGATGGATCGTCACTGTGACTCCACATCGTGGGTGTATCCAGTGTCTGCATTCTAGGTCCCATTCTACCCCAATGCCCCCACTGTCTTGAACTTTGACCTTGCTGAACTGGGAATACAAACACTGATTCACCTTTAGGCGGACACTGTGGGTTTCTTTGACGTTCCTGTGGTCTGGTTAAATTGTTCTGTCATTACTGGGGAAGGATCTGGAAATGTAAAATGAAAGCTTTAAAACAGTGGATTTAGATTGAATAACATGATATAATTATTTAGCTTGGAAAATAATTCAGGCCACATTTCCAAGTGTTAAGGCTGTGTTCTAGTTTATTTTTTGGTCCAAAAAGGCTAATCACTTTGTCTCTTTCCCAAGATGTTTTCAGATGTTTTTTGGGGATAAATAGTAAAAAATACCAATATTTGCAGACTTGCATAATTTTATGAAAGCATTTACATGCATAAGAAACATGCCACACTGAGACGTCTTCATTTTGAGGGATGAAGCAAACAGTTCTTTGTATCAGACTATTGAAATATTGGCTAATGGTCTTGAGACACTGTCCATGTGTTGCAGTGACAGAACTGTCTCCCTTAAGGGCCACAATTGATGACTGACCAAAGACTCTAAGATCACTATTGAGTGGTCTATTAGTTTCCATCTTCCTGCCAGTTTAACATCCCCTGAGCTGGCTAGTGAGGTCAGGCAGAGGTCAGAGGTTAGTGAAGTGCCCTTTGTTGTTTACAGGAAGAGACAGTGTTACTTAGTCCTGTATCTCCTAGTAAGCTAACAGGAATCTCCAGAAGTCCTCAGACCTTCTCATCAGTCTGGATCCCAGACTCCCTCTGGGGCTCTCATGGGAAAGACCAATGTAAACTGCCTAGCGACTCCTTACCTAAAAGTTTAAGTGTGCAGTTCGTCATTTCTGCACTGCTGGTGGCATTTTCAATAGCAACCACCCAACACATTAGCAACTACCTAGCAAGGACTACATACACTTCAGACCTTCCCTCTCTTCTGAACTGTCCAGTTCTTTAGTTACAATTTGTTGTGCAATTCAAGCTAATATGCAAGTGTTTCTGTACGTGGGATCTGGTGGTTCATACAGGTTGATGAGAGTTTATTCGAGAGCACTGTAACCTCACAGGGTTATACAGACACATTCCACACTGTCCAGTGAATGAACAAACAGCCCTCTCATTGCTTCATGTGACACATCAGCCACGAGCTTTCAGTAAAGGAGAAAAACAGAGAGATTATATATATATATATATATATATATATATATACTGTATATATTAGCCATAGTCTCTTGATTGTCTTCATGTGAAGCTGACATTTGTGTTCTGTGTTCTTTCTCTTGTGTTGTAGAGTTACTGGGCTCCACCAAGAGGCTGAACATCAACTATCAGGATCCAGACGGGTGAGTCATTGTTCTGTGGGTGAATCTCATGACGAAACAAGTCAATAACATAATAATCAGGTCAAAACACAGACATTCTGATTTGTGCAGCCAGTCAGCACTTTCCCATAAGGCCTGAGGAGTGATCAGATTAGAAAAGCTGCCAGAGAACTTGTGAGGCATGCAACTCTTTTTAAGTTTAAGTGCTATAGATACCAACTAGGTTCATTGTTTAATAACAGTTAGGTAGGTAATTATTAAATAGGTAATTCTTTTTTTGTATTGGCAGTATTATTAGTATATCATAGTTTAAGGACCAGAGGATGAAAGGCTGATCACCAGAGGATGAGAGGCTCATCAAATAACCATCAAATAATGTGAAAGTTGCAAAGGTAATGTCATAGTTCAAAAAGTCTTAATGGTCCTAAAATAGCCAAATAATTTCTAACATCTATCTCTTGATGTTGGTGTGAAACCAAGTTACTCTGGTAACTCTGCTGTTTTAGGCCTTTTGGATTTGACTGCTGCCTTTGATATGGTCAACCACTCAATTATTTTATCTAGACTTGAACAGTGTGTCGGCATTAAGGGCATAGCCCTTACTTGGTTTCAGTCGTATTTGACAGACAGAAGTAATTTTCTTCATCTGCTGCCACTCTTTTTTGTGGCGTCCCCCAAGGGTCAGTATTGGGCCCTATGTTGTTTTCTTTGTATTTGCTGCCCTTGGGGTATATTTTTAGAAAGCACAATATCTCCTTCCACTGTTATGCGGATGATGTACAAATTTATTTGCCTGTCAAAACAAATGACAAAACTTAATTTCTGTCATTACTAAATTGCCTGAGAGATTTAAAAATATGGCTGGATCAGAACTTTTTTTGTCTTAATGAAAATAAGACTGGGATTATTGTGTTTGGTCGTCCTGGGGATTTAAGTGCTTGTGTAGATGCACTTGGTAATTTAGGTTTGTATGTTCGTCCATTTACCAAGAATCTCGGTGTGATTTTTGACAGTGCTTTTAAATTTGAAAAACAGATTAGTTCTGTTGTAAAAGCCAGTTTCTTTCAACTGAGACTGTTGGCTAAAGTCAAGCCCTACCTGCCACATAAGGAGTTTGAAAGTGTAATTCATGCTTTTATAACATCTAGACTAGACTACTGTAACTCTTTATATGTTGGTTTGGATCAGCCATCTCTTCAACGCTTACAGTTAGTTCAAAATGCAGCAACTCGGCTTCTAACTGGGACTAAAAAGTATGAGCACATTACTCCTGTCTTAGCTTCACTACACTGGCTTCCGCTGTCCGCTTCAGGATTGATTTCAAGATTTTATTGTTTGTTTTTAAGATTTTAAATATGTTGGCGCCTGCCTATTTATCAGAGCTTTTACATGTCCACACTCCTGTTAAAGCGCTGAGGTCGTCCAATCAGGTGCTCCTCAATGTTCTGAGAGCCAGGTTAAAAAATAAAGGTGACCAAGCTTTTTCAGTGGTGGCACCTAATTTGTGGAATAGTTTACCTGTGCACATAAGAACTGCTCAGACTGTTGGAATTTTTAAGTCATTACTTAAGACACACCTGTATTCCTTGGCTTTCATTTCGAGCTGAGCTGAGACATTGTGTTTTTTTTTTTTTTTTTACTGTATTTGTCTTGTTTGTATGTGCGTTTTTCCGGACATTGTTAAGCACTTTGGTCAACCATGGTTGTTTTTAAATGTGCTATATAAATAAAATTGAACTGAACTGAACTGAAATATGTTCTGATATATACATTAATAATTTTTTAAAGTTTGGGGTCTGTAAGATTCACTGCATTTATTTGATCAGTACAGTAAAAACTGTAATATTGTGAAATATTATTAAAAAAATTTCTATTTGAATATATTTTCAAACGTAATTTATTCCTGATATCAAAGTTCAGCAGCCATAACTCCACATTTCTTAATATTGTCATTGTTGAAAAAAAGTTGTGCGGCTTATTATTTTTTGTGGAAACCATGACACAAGTATATGTTTTTTCAGGATTCTTTGAATATAGTCAAAAGAACAGCATTTATTTGAAAAATATTTTGTAACATTATAACATAATGTATTTACAGTCAATTAAAGTGTTCACTTTTGATCAAATTAATGCATCCTTGCTTAATAAAAGCATTAATAAAAAAAAATATTGATTTTTTGGTGGTACAAATGAGCTGCCCATGGTCTCTTCACAGACAGCATCACAGCCTCATTCCGACACCTGAGAGTATCAGTATAATCGTGTGCAAGCATGTTGACTTCCTGTGTGATGGATCATCCCACTTTGATTAGTTTTGAAATTGACAGTTGTTGAATCACACAAGACAGCCGAGTCAGCACACTGTCTTATATGCTATAAATGTCCTCTCCACACACCTCTAACCTATTGTTGTCAAACCAGCTGTTTCAGACGGACTGAATTACACCCCTCTGGAAACTTCTCATAATAAGGTTTATTTAAGTCTATGATCAGTTTTTCACTTGGCTTTATTATTTTGAATTGTGACCATTCTATATCTAATATTATTTTTCTTAACTCTCTGTTAATTTGTGTACTTTCATGTAAGCGTTTTAAATTGTTAATGTGCCCCCAATGCCCTGAAATAACTTGGCTGTGTCTTCATAATGTTTGGGCAACTTCGTATACACACTAAGTGTGCTATGAGCTCTTAGCCTTAAAATCTATGTATATAAGACTGAATTCTTTCAGCCAGATACTTCACCTGTGTCTCATCTTAAACTGACCACTATCATTGCTCTCACAGTCTATTAAAACGTGCTATGTCAACAGTGTTTTTGAGATAAGATGGGCCTTTCACAGGGCTGTAAAATAGCACATTGACCTCATATATTAAAGTCGAGACTCTAGTGACATTTAGGTGCTTGTTTTTGGGTGGCCCCCCACCTGTCTGTCGTAAAGAAGAGAAAGGGGCGTGGGCCAGTCGAGGGGTCAGAGATGGCCATTCGCAGATAAGGACCGTAACGAATTAGATGGGAGTGTTTACAAAGCACCGGACAGCCATTATTGAGGCCAGATGGGGAAGGCAAGAGGAAAACAGGGAATGATGGATGGAGATTTATGAGAGTTGTTGAGTGCTGATCCATGCTTTCATGGCTGGTGTGAACAAATCTGCCACTATATAGCATTAAAGCACGTTAAATAGATAACTAAAAATATCCAAGATAAACTCTCGGGTTAGATTGGCTGACGTCTCAGGTCTTTAAAGCGGTCCACTCTTAGTTTGAACAAGATGCATCAGTCACATAGTTTTATTTTGTTTTTCTAAGTTGCCATGGTATCTACTGACCCGGGTTTTGTTATATAACATCTCTATTTAATGGAAAATTACTGACAGAAGAGGAAAACAGGAAAAGGGGCGAAAGGATGTAGTTGAGCTCAGCTCAGTCAGAGTGTATGTAGCACGGTCATGCAGAGACCTGTATCACTTATTAATGGGAATAAAGTACATAGACTCACCCGTGTGTAGGTAAAGGCTTCGGGCTGTCTGGGATCTGAATCTTACGAAATATGCAACATATTAAGGTCATATTACAGTACTCTCTGAAATCAAATGAAAAAATATTATATAAATATGTTATACATAAAAATTTATTTATACAAGGACATCTCATTACAATTAAGAACCTTTCTCAAACAATTTTCAAGACTAAATGCAAAAAATATATATATTTTTTTTTATTTTGAAAGAATTGTATTAAATAATATTTTTGTTTATGCTGATTAAAAACATTTTGGAATTGCAATATTTTTCTAATAATGTTGCAGAATTTGCATTAATTAGAATCTAATGAGAACAACAACTGAAAGTAATAGAATAAAAAAAAGATAAAACATCTATCGAGGCATTATGGCAATGAGAACCTTTGGTCAAAATGTACTTATTATGAAAATGTTATTATATAAATATGGAAAGCTACTTTTAAAAGTAATGCATTACAATGTTGTGCTACGCATAAAAAAGTAACTAATTTTGTTACTTAGTTACTTTTTATGGAAAGTAATGCATTACATTACTTTCTCGTTACTTTTTGTCACCTGGGCTGGGCTGGGCTTGCTTATTTATTTTTTAAAAACCCAAAAGTTATATTTTTGGCAACTGTAAAGTCTCTTTTACAACTAAAGTGAAATTATTAAGCCTCAGTCTGAAGGAAGTGCCTCTGCACCTCTTTCTCTCAATATGGGACAGAAGAGGTGCCAGTGAATAAATTTGAAAAAGTACTTTACTAATTACGTTACTTAAATAATTACTTGAAAAAGTAATCTGATTACTTTTTTCAGTAATCTGATCTGATTACAGTGTGTGTGTGTGTGTGTATGTGTATATATCCAATTATAAAAAAAAAGCTATTAAAATTATATTTTTTTATTGATTATTTATTATTTTTTGAACATGTTTTTGTCAGATACACCCATCTAAAGGACGTTTGAGTTGCAACACTGTTAGGAAAGCCTTGTTTCTGCATTGCCACCTGATGATGACCTCAGCATGCATCATAAGCTTGTACTTTTGATTGTGAAAGATTTGCATGCTCAGGTCTGTTTGTAAAGGAGAAAAATGAAATGTGGGGTTTGGGGTTTGGGGTGGGGGGGTTCAGCAAATAATAGTGGTGTAGCGTTGAAGGTTTTGCTTGTCTGTGAGACAAATTAGTATTTGAGCTGCCTTTGACTTTCTGGGGAACTGTTGGGATTTGTATGGGGGCGTTTCCATGGCAAACGTCCTGGAATGTTTGTGAATGAATGGCAAGGCCGGTGTGAGAGGGACTCTTTGGAGCCCTGTCTTTTGTCCACCGAGGGCAGCGCTGCCAGGACGCATCAAATCCGTCCTGACATCCCGAGAAATGAAGGTGAAAGTGGACAGGGCTCATAACACAAGACCCTCGCTGAGTTCTGGGAACTTTTCCCGAATTGTGTGTTTGTGGGTAAATCAACAACTGCTCAATATCACTGTGGGCAGCCATCGGACTGTTTGACCCGCTCTT